CATCAGAATATAGGACAACCCCCCTGTGAGTTGGCTTGAGAAGAGCCAAGCCAAACAGGTCCACCCTTGCAGCAGTTAGTTAAGAGTTAGGAGTAGTCTCAATGTTGTCTTCTGACTTGGCATTTCGTTGGGCGAGGTTAGTCCCTTGAGCACCTGATTCCCCATGTGGACCCATCAGCAGCTGAAGCAATTGAACCCCGCCAGCTTGGCGCTCCACTCCTTGGTTTCCAGAAGCTGCGGATTTCCAAGAATGACACTTGAGCGGGTTGGATTGGATGGCGCTTGCGCATGGGCTTGCGCTTCCTTCTTTCCGCAAGGGCAATCAACTCATACCGCACTAGGAATACTCGCCGGCCGGCGTCTCGCATCCGGCACCGGATCAGCAGCACTCAACTCCTAGCGCGGCAAAACCCAGTACCGTCCTAGACTGCGGCAGCGAGGTGTACAAACAAAAATTGGGGCTCAAAATTGAAGATCCGCAGTTACGCAGGTTTTGGTTTTTGTTCCCATCTACCAAGAGGCCATGTTGGGTACCCTCCCACCAGCTAACATGGAAGTGCACAGACCCCTGTAGAAAGATTGGAACGGGCGTTTTTGCACCTGGGGTCACTTCCCTGTTAATCGGTGGGAGGGTACCACTTTTCGAGCCATTGCCAAGTCACGCCAGAATCCGGCCACCCCCGGTGACACCCGACAGGCGTGAAGCGCCCGGCGCTTCTGTCCGAGCCGGCCGAGCCGTCCGAGCCGGAGGTTGCGCCGCAGGCACCCGGCTCCAATGTCAGGTTCGGCGAGTTGAGACTCGCCCCGTGTCTTTTTGGAAAACCGAAGAGGCCGGGGAAAAGTGAAGATGTACATTTTGAAGGGACTTGCACCGCACCCTGGTGAAACGTAGCTTTCCATAAACGCTTCCTCTGGATAGAGGAAAATAAGAGAGGCTTTGTGGTTTGTGCCTCTTCTTGCTTGCACATCATGACCTCTAAACACTCACATGTCTTTAAGGTTGGGTATTCAGTCCTCGCGCTGTTTGCCGCGTCGGATCGGAGTGGGATGATGGTCGCACGGGCAGAGTCTTGAATTGTCGTTCCGCTGTGGGGAATGAAGCCGAAACAGGGCTCCTTAAAAGAAATTCTTTTTGCAACCATTTGAAACATGTTGTTTGTTCCACCAAAATGAAGGGAAACCACCATGTGCAAGCTGCAATGTTCAGGTGTATAATGCATCCGGATCCCTGTGAAACGCGACAATGTTGACGACTTCCCTCCCTTCGATGAAACAGCGCGCCATGGGACCAACCCACGCGTGTCACTGACTGCAAACATGGCACTTGGGTTGCTGTATCTTCAGGTTGGGTTAAAAGAAGCATTTGTTCAAACTGTCTAGGCATGTGTGCTTGTTTGTTTGCACTAGGGACGCACATTGGAATGCAATCCTTGGAAGCTGACATCGCATAATAGTTCCTCGACAAACTCGTGTGCTTGCCCAGTGCTTGCCCACTGTTTCCCGTATGTCAAAGTGGGTGAATGCGTTGATCGTTTGGGCTGAGTCAGTTTGTCCTCAGCGAGAGGTAAAGCATCCAGACGACGCATTTGGCTGACGATGCTCACTGCTCACTGGTGTTGCAGTTGTTTGCTCGCGGGCATCTGAAACTGACCTTCAACAGTTTGACTCATCAGACCGTTCTCGACAACATGAAGTACAGACTGAAAGCCCGGCTGCACGTGACGAATTGCCAAGACCCTCGTGACAGATGCATGAAGCTCCAAGTGGACTGGTGTTTCAACCCACCTCGTCAATTGTAGTGCTGACAAGGGTGCTAAAAGACACGACTACGACAGCGCGATGCGTAGAATTGTTCTCCCAAATGCTCGCCCTATGTGGTGTGCGTGAATGTATGGCCTTAGAGGGCATGTCCAGTACCTTCCAGCAAGCATTAATTGTTTGCAGGTCCCTTGAATTCAGGAGAGAAAGAAAGAGAAAGAGAGAGAGAGAGAGATAGAGAGAGAGAGAGAGAGCCCGTTCAAAGCTAATGTGAACCCCGGATTCCTAAACCACTGGTTGATTTCTCGGAGGGGCGTCCCCTTGTGGGAATCCTTCACTGTGGGTCACACCCCCTATTGATAGGATGGATTTAAGTTGAAACATGAGAGACCATGGTTGGTTGGCATTTAAAGGGGAATCTTATCAGAAACGTTTCTGAACAGTGGGGCGACATGGATTTTGCGACCGTCCGTGTTATCTTCTTCCAGGACCTCTACCTCACACCCTTGCCACTTTGGCAACGGTTCTTCAGGTCTTCAGGGTTCCGATTACCCTCCTAACAATTCACATGGAACCTGACGTAAAAGAGGAGGTCCTGGTTTGGACCATGTTTCTTTTCAAGGGGCCACCTTCCTGTCAGGTTCCACGTTAATCCTCTAATCTTTAGACTTTCACTTTTTGGATTCCCCACATATATTTCCTAACTAGCCAAAACAAAACTTTCTGAACTAGCAAACAGTAAAAAACAACTTTTGCCAGGGGATCCCACCAGCACGTTCAACTTTTTGAGCTGGGAGATCCCACCGGCATATATTTCCCTACTAGCAAGAAGTGAGAAACACTTCTGGGGGATTCCACCGGCACTCGCCTCCCCGGGTCTCGCTCGGCTCGGCTCGCCGGAGGCGTCGAGGCGCGCGAACCGCGCGGGGCTGGCGCCCCTGGGCGCGGTGGAGCCCAGGCAGCGCGCCACCAGCTGGTACCCCACCCCGGCGGCGGCGGCGGCGTCCGAGGCGAAAGACGCGGAGGAGTCGGAAGAGGCAGAAGCGCCGGAGGAGCGCTTTGATGTGTTTTTTTGTTGTTGTCTGCTTCTTTTTCTTTTTTTTTGGGTGGGGGGTGGGGGGGATCTGTTTTTTTGTTTAACTGGGGGGAGCGATTTTTTGTTTGAAACAGGAGTTTCAACTTGGGTGAGGCGTTTGATGTATGGGATAATGGAATATGCAGTTCAAGATTCGTTGGACTGCATGCAAGTCATTGAGATGCGAGCAAGTGTGGGTGTGAGCTTGATCTCGATGTGCGTTGGCATCTTCGCTTTCAATGCTTGGATGTGTTCATGTCCAAGCACCCAGTTGCCCAGTGGTGCCCTGTTTTCCTTTTTTCGGGAAAGGTTCCCCTTTTAAACTCAACCAACCAAAAAAGGATGCCCTGAATTTTTCTCCCGGCCACTGGGCATCTGAGAGGAGCACCAGCCAGAGAGGAAGCTAAAGAAGCGCAAGAAGGCGAAGAAGGCGGGAGGGCCAAAGATCCATCGCTCGCAGCCCCAAATGCTCGACGTCGCAAAGTTTTGGTCAGGAGCCGAAGGAGACGAAGGAGTCGAAGGAGACGAAGGAGCAAAAGGAGCCAAAGCATGGTCCCATTTTGAGGTAGGTGCACCACCCATTTTAGTGGATTTTAGTGGATTTTAGTGGGGATTGGGATGTTCACTGGGGGTACCCATGGCCATACATGGTTGGGAAGCATCTTACATGTTTGCTTGTTGTGGTTTAGTGGTTGAAAACCGACCACTTAACTGCTAAAATTTGAGAATTGCTCCCCTTCCAACGTCAACCAAGAAAGCTCCCCTTCCAACGTCAACCAAGAAAGGAGCCAAAGGAGCCCAAAGAGAAGGACCGAGATTCGTTTTCGCCGAGCGTGACTCGGGACGGCCTCATGACCGAGCAGCAGGCTGGGAGAATCCGGTGTGGTCACCGTGGGTTTGTCACATGTTCAGAATGCGCTTGAAAATCCAAATCTTACCACCAACGGAAACAAGCAAGGACATGCTCATGCAACCTCATCCGGTGTTGCAAGATGTCTTGCCTCGGGATTTGCCTGCCCGTCTCAAGGGCTACACCAGAGCTGCGCAGCCAACCAAAGCAACGGCTTCTAAAGCCATGGGAAGACAAGCATGTTGAATGTTGCACGTGCAGGGTTTGCATTTGCAACCCATTTCATTTGACTCGCCGTCAGACCCACCACCGGGCTGTCGTGCGAAACAATGCAGTCGCCAACTCAACGAAGAGAATACTAGAAACGCCCTATCAAGCCCCTTGCAAACGGGTCAGACTGAGCTGGCAGGTCAAGGACATGATGCAGCGGGAGCGCAAAAGCAAAAAAGACAACTCCGCGCGGCGAGTGCAGAGGGAGCTAGAGGAGTGGGAGAATACCCGGAGACTTGGCAGGGTTGAACTGCTCTCAAGGTGCGTGCACCATTGCACCATTCTAGGGGTGATTCCTGAGCCATTCTTTTCCATGGCTCTTTTGCAGCAAACCGGCTCCGTTTCTTCCGGCTTTTTGGTGGTTTTCTCGAAAGATCTGGTGGTGTTTGGTCGTTTGTTTGGTGGTTTTCTCGGTGGAAATGGAAGCTGGGATCCATTTGGAGCTCCACCCCTCGGGCCCGGTGAAGCAAGCTTGCCGCGTGGAATTGTTGCTCAAGCCCAGGCAAGGTGTTGGTTTGAGAGGCCCAGGTTGAAGCTTGCTTGGTTGTTGTTGAGAAACATTTTACATTTTTGCTTATTGTGGTTTAGTGGTTGAAATCTCCACTTACCTGCTAAAATTTAAGTTTTTGAAACGTCAGCCAAGCTTGTTTGGGGGGAGCGGTGCCAAGGAATGAGCGAATGGCGCGACTTGCAAATGAGAAGGAGCGTTTGGTGGTGAACAGAAAGTAGCCATGCCAGCGAGATGTGAGCGGGAAGTCAGCTGGTCCGTGGGATGTCCGTTGGTGTGCTTTGCAGCTTTGCTGCAGCTTGGTTTGAGTATGTTTGAGTGGATGTCCTGATTGCCGTTGTTTCCACGGGACGGTGATGCCAGCACCAACCAGCTATTCACAACAGCCATTTGCTTTGCGCTCGGGACGCGGGATCATGCGACGCAAAAAAGAGAGAACGGGCGCAGTGTTGCAAGTGCCGTTGTTGTGCAGCCCTCAGGCCGGAAGTAGCTAGGCTAGTTGAACAAGGCTTTCCCTACAATTTGCTCGAGACTTAGCTGGTGGTTGATTTGCAAAGTGGCCAAGGCACCCTAGATCTAACTTCCAACTGACTTACACATTCAAGTCAAACAGAACTACAGGCCCCTACCTGTATTGTGGATGGACCAAATCCATTTCGCACCACCACTAAGAAACCCTGGTTTCTGATGAGTTCCAACCTGTAAATACCAACAAATCGCTGGTTTCCCCCATGGTTTCATTTCGTGGTGCGAGAAGCGGATTTCGAGGTCTCAGAATGCGCTGAGCAGTTCCCAGTTCAGGAAGGCAAAAAAATGATGGCAGGCAGAAGGGATCTTGGTTGTAAGACTGGTATTCCCTTACTGGCAACAGAAAAATCCCTGCAAGTGGTGTAATTATTTCTATTTCTGTACTCCCGTACAGATATTGGTTTGCTTGCACTTTGCTGGCAACTCATATTTTTCCACCACTTGCAAAAAACATTCTTGAAGGAAGGACCGGATGTTTGATCACATTTCGAGAAGACTAGGGCAAAGCTGCCTCTTGAGCTAGAGCTTCCTAGATCAGTGGTGTAAATATGCCTCGCTTGTGATTTGTTTGGCAAAGAGAACAAGTTTGGTTGCAAGCCTGCCGGATTAATCCAGCCACTGTGACACAAATGAGCATGAAACCAGTTCCCAGACAGTCCTAAGTACCCCATTTACGGCTTTGGGTTTGGTTCAAGGATTCGTCAACTATGACGTACTTGGACCCTCTGGGACCCGTTGTTTTAAGATCATCCTATCACATCATCCTGTGCGGCTTGACGCAAGACACCGCCCCTCAGCCGAGCTTTCCTGTTTTCGTGGCTCGGCCCGGTATCATGTCCTCAAGCCAGTGTTGTTCTTATGAATTCTGTTTTTTTGTTTCTCTCTCTCTCTCTCTTTCTTTTTTAACCTAGCCGAGGCGGCCAGTGCGCAGTGTTTACTAAGATTTGAGTCGACCATCTATCTCGAGCATCCTATCATCCTTTGCGGCTGGACGCAAAAACCCGCCGCTACGAGTTGCTGTTTTCGTCGGCCAGTGAGGCGGTCGGTCGGGCGGTTGAGCTCGAGCTCTCAGCAGGTGATCCTGGCGGGGCTCACCCCCCTGCTGCTGGCAGGCATCCGCTTCGAACCGCCGCTGGCGGGCCAGGCGGCGCAGCTGCTGCAGCGCACGCCCTTGGGGAGCAGCATGCGCCCCTGACGCAGCAGGGTGGTGGGATCAAGGGGTTTATCCAGCCACTTCTGTGATACCTTCGGGAATCTCCCCCTTTACATGGGGGGTTAGTCTTTGTTTGGGGCTTCGTTGATTTGGGTCTGGCTCAAAATTGAAGAGGTAGGGTTACGCAGGTGTTAGTCTTTGTTTCCATTTGCCAGGGTTCCATTTTGGGTACCCCTTTTTGACCCACTGCCATTTGAGCTAAGCTTAAGGGGAACACAAAGATGTCGAGTTTCTTTCTAGAGAGGGCCAGGCAGTCCCACGATCGTGCTCTTGGCTAGTTTTGGCGGGTTAACTGTTCAACTCAGTTGAGTTGGATTTCACTACTGGAAACCCGTTTGGATAGACATAAGCAGATGATAGTATTGAACGACTTCGCAATGTTTGAGGCCAAACGGGTGAAGATTCTATAGATGCAAAGGGACGGTCTACTGACCTCGTTTGACAATCTTGGGAGGCCAGAGGGCAGTTGTTTCGAAGTAGCCTTGCTGGGAAGGTAGCGCAATGCTTCTGCATTCGATCTAATCGCATGCTCAAAAGCCGAGCAGTCTGTTCGTGGCTCCTCACGAATCAGTCAAGGGCATTCCGCGGGCCTGGTTGCGTGGCTCAGCTTTTGGCGTTGTTTCGGATGGGTCCCTGGCACACATTTCTGAAGCTTGCTAGCTGGGAAAGAGTTACTGCGGCTTGATTTTGCGAGGGGGTTCGGTGTAGGCGATGTAAGCTTCCAGCAGGCTTTGTATTTCACTCAATTGACATGTTTTGTTTGCATAGCTTGACCCATTTGTGGAGGGTTTCACACTGGGTGAGTCCCATTGAATCTTCATTGGTTACCTGTGAGCGGCAGGCAACTGAAGCAGCAAAAGCTAGCGTTCCACAGAGATGAAACTTGACTTGCGGGAAATTCCTGGAATTCCTACGCGACGGAGCTCTCCTTTGCCTCTCAACTTGTTCTTGCACCAGTGGTTAGGTGCTTCGTTTCCAGTTAACATGTGACAGAACCACTTAGGCGAGTCTCACCTCCTGTGTTTGTTTGATAAAGCAACTTGTCTTCGGATGTAGTAGGCATTTCGTCCGCAGGAAGTACTCGCTGATCTACTCGCGACCCTGGTGGCGCGACAACGGCTACCTGGGACGCATCATCTTTCTGAATAGCTCCGCGCCGAATATCTACACCCACAACTGTGCCTTGACAATTTTGACCGAGAGCGAGGTGTCGGAACATTGAGTCAGGGCGATGCGGAGGTTGGGTGCTTCCCAGGCCGCGCAGTTTGCGGCCGAAGTGGGGCAACTTGTTCCCTTGATGTTACCTTGAAGCAATCCCCTTCATCCATCCAATCCACGAAAAGTTTTGGCCGTCCAAATCCATGGGCCCAATGGCACTTGGGTTTTGCTTGTTGTTAGCAGCGTGCCTGGGTTTGTGTGCAGTCCCGTACAAAGGGCCCAAGCCACCAGCCCCGATGAACCGGCTGGGCTTGCCATGGTGTGCATGTCACGTACATGACTCTCCAGTAGGGTTGAAGTTCCGGTGGATCGCAAGGCTAAAATATTTAGATGCATGAGGTGAGGCTTGGTTAGGATGTTGACTAAAAGTCTTCAAAACCTGTCTTCAGATTTTGAAAGGCGAAGACGGGATTGCAGGGAAAGCACATGTCTAGATTTCCACAGATGCGCGCAGAACTGGTCCAGGGAATCCCCGGGGCCTCGACTCAGGCATCGACAACTCCCCGTACAGCTGGTCTCGTGGAGTCGTCACTTGCTTCACGGAGGGCGGCCAAAACCGCGCCTTCCTGCGATTGACGGAGTCGCAGAGGACCGGGGGTCCTCAAGAGAAGACACCGGATCCTGTGGATGGTTGCGAAATCCATGTGGCACCGCCTAAGAAGCCCTGGAAGGATGATTCCCCTGTAAATGCCAACAAATACCGGTTTCCCGTGGTTGCAAAGCGGTGCAGGATTTCGTCCATCCACAGTATTGGGGATGGGGGACGGGCACTTGCGCACTCCTCGCAAATCCGGTCAACCCTAAACCCGGTGGTAGACTCACCTAGGAGACCCATGTTCTGTGAGGCACGGCGATTTTCGGCACGACATGACTGCGCAGAACCAAAGAAATGAGAGTCCAGGATCACAATCCTAGCACTTAGGACTGCGTTGGCCGTGCATTGCTTCCGATGCAGTGCTGTCTTTTTGTCTTCAGAGTGTCGATGTGTTGCCTTTGGTTATGGTAAATTTTGAATGAACACCTGATGTTGTGTGGTTGCCTCCTGTTGCCATTGCTGGTGGAACAGCCACACGCTTGCACGCACACACACACAATGCCATGCCTCACCAAACCAGTACAGTATAGTACAGCACAGCACCACAACACAACGCAAAATCACGACACAGAACGAAGGCGCAACGACACCTCACCGCACCACACAACACCACACAACACCACACCAGACCACACAACACAACCAAACACGACACATCACCAACACAACACAACACAGCACAGCACAGCACAGGACAACACAACACAAAACACCACACACAACACACATGCACAACACTGGCTAGCAGTTTAGAAGCGACACCGTGTTATTGACAACTGACAATTGTTCCAGTTGGGATATCAATCCTGGGCTTTCCTCGTATCTTGTTCACAAGTGATTGGAGGGTGGCACTGTTTGCCAAAGCTTCGCGTTTGCGCGTCTGATTGGCACTGTTAGTATGGCACTTAGGGATACTTCTGCAGTTCTGGATGTGTGCTTGCGGAGTGGGCAACTGAAGATGCCCCAAGACCAGAATCTGGCCAAGTCCCGTGTTCATCGTCGTTGTTTGATCCGCAGAGCAAGCACTGGCTGGATTGCTGTGGCTGCAAGATGCTGACAAATACTCTCTGTGCTTGCGGCATTTGCCTGAAGGTTGGGAGCTATGTTCAGCTGCATTGTGGAGAGACGGTTACAAAAGCAAGCTGTGGGAAACTGCCAGCTATGACTCGCAATCCCGGAAGTGATCCTGATTCAGACCCCTCTTTTCAGCTGCGGTGGGGTTCGTTCAGAGTGGACGGCTTTGAGTGAGAGGGGCTTCCGTTTTGAGGCGACAGGCCATGGAGCAAATTGTGCGGGAGGCGCTGGGGGAGACTTCAGAGCCCGTGCTGGGCACTTTGGAGAGACTCGGCTCCTTTGGCCCCCTCCATTCTGAGGCGGGCCTATGTGTGGATGTGCAAGCAAGTATGAAACAAAAGTAAGCAACTCAGTCAATGTGCTCAAGTGTGCTGGTGCTTTGTTGCTCGTGCGTGTGCTTGTGTTATTGTGTGTGTTTCCGTTATCATGCATGTTGTTTGTGTGTGTGTATGTTCGGGCCCCACCAGAATGCTTGCATGATTGTGGCAAACCCTTTGGCACTTTCTTGATTTGCCGTATGGCGTGTGTGTGTGTGTGTGTGTGTGTGCGTTTGTGTTGTCCTGTTTTGTGGTTTTCGTATGGTTCAAATGCTCTTTGTCTACCATTACGGCTTAAAAAGCGCCCCTGTGAGAACCTAAGGTTGTAGGACCAACGCCTGGGCGGTGGGGGATTGTTGAAGGTTTTGGTTGTGTCCTATGTTGTCTTAAATTGTTAGTAAGTTGCCACACATGCCACACAACCGCTTGAAATGGCTTTGGCTTGGTGAGTGTTGCTTGCTTGGCTGCAGTTCTTCCGGCATAGAATGACACTGAGCTGTGGGCCATCATGCCAGGACAATCCTGGCCACTCTTGGTTTTGCAGCATGCAGCCTCAACATGATGGTTGTGTTTGTTTAGTAGTGAGTGGAAAGA